AAACAAACTCCATAAATGCACTGTTCAGTGCACCAAAAGAAGCATCTTTTGTTTCACACTCAGCAGCCATTATATCCCATAGGTTTCTATACCTGCATAAAATATCTTACTATGTGCTAAGCTGACCCCTACACTGTCACATCCCATAGGTTGCTAAACTTACAGAAAATATATTACTACATGCTAAGCTATGCAGTGTCACATTTTAATATAAAAAGAAAGTATCTCTCATAGTGAACGTACAGCTCTAACACTGCAATGTAAAGGACACCCACAAACTTTTACAATTTGGTCATAAGGAACAATGAAAATTATACTGTACACAAACAAAACCCGTTTGACCAGAGTACAGTGGGAAAAACAAACATATGCAATGTGGGAAATGATCGCTGTATGAGATTTTCCTTAACAGCTATACACTGTATCATATGTTAAGCCCCACTGTTCTCAAGATTTAAGATGATCACCGTCTTCAAGAGAACTAAAAGATTTCCCCATGTTTGTAGCACAGATTAAAAGCAAAACAAAGTAAAAATACAATTTCCAGAACTATACAGTACTAGTATACTATACTAGTATATAGTATACTAGTACTACAGTACTAGTGTACTACACTAGTAAATACTAGTATACTAGTATACTACAGTACTAGTGTACTACACTAGTAATAGACTAGTTTGTCAGAGACAGCACAATAACTTTAAACTTTAAGTTTACAACTTGCAAACAATGTAAGAACACAAGAAGAGCCCTGATGGATCAGGCCAAGGGCCAATCTAGTCCAGCTTCCTATATCTCACAGTGGCCCCACCAGATCCCTCTGGGAGCACACGAGACAACTTGATAGCTTTCTCCTGATCCCCCTCCCCTGCATCTGCCATTTTGAGGTACCTTCCTTCTAAGCCTGGAGAATATACATCCCCATCATAGCTTGTAACCTGCAATGGACTTTTCCTCCAGAAATCTGTCCAATTCCTTTTTAAAGGCATCTAGGCCAGGTGCCATCACCACATCCTGTGGCAAGGAATTCCGCAAACTAACAACATGCTGGGCAAAGAAATACTTTCTTTTGTCTGTTCTCCCAATACTCTATTGCAGTGGATGTCCCCTGGTTTTGGTATTGAATGAGAGGGAAAAGAGCTTCCATCTATCCACTCTATCTCATGTGCACAGAAAGCAACAATTTCTGCAAAGGGGGCAAGTGGCTCAGCCTGGCACCAAACAATGACTACTGAAAATAAAATGCCAGCTGGGGTTGTGGTGGTCTCCAAGATGCAGTCTAAAAAAGTAATGATTTCCAAGATCTGAAACGAAGCAACTCTGTAAATTTCATTTAAAATCATGGATAAAAGAAGGTGGAGAAATCAAAACTAGAAAAATACAGTGCATTGGGAGGAGAAAAAAAATCTACGTTTTAAAGACTTTTAAAAGTTCTTATTGCACTGAAATCGAGTTCTAGTGCAATTTAATAAACAACTTTATTGTGGCTGGTTCTTAGATTTCAGCCTCAGCCATGCGGGACACCGAAGGAGCCTCCCCAAAGAATATGAAGGGTATGAATACTGTACATTCAGTGTCCCCTGGGCAGGGACAGCACCCTGTTAGCTGATCCTTCTAGTCCAGAAGTGTCACTAGATTGCTTCCAACGTGAATGAACAAGAACCTAAGTTGTGAACTGAACTGAAACGGAGTGTTTAAATGATATGAAACTGTCTCACACGAACTGATTTTATATGGGCGGCATTTATTAACAAAGGCATAGAGAAAGATTCAGATAGAATCATACCTGCAGTAGACCCACTTGGCATCAATTGGACTTAAACTCCCTGGGTACCAGCGGGTCTGCTGCTAGTACAAGCAATGCCAGGATCTAGCCAAACCTACATATTTTGGCCAATATTACATAGTTAACACTCTGAAGGAAAACACAAAGATATCGAAAGAAAAAAAAATCAGACTTTTAAGACACTTTTCATACCATCGTTATTATCTGGGTCATACAACACAGTACACTCCTTCCAAGTATAAGCACCTCAAGTAAGGAAGCCAGCCTACAAATGTATTCAGAAATGTTTGAAAAGCCTGTTCATTAACAACGTGAACAAATAATAGTATTGTCACACTTTTAATACTAGCACATTTTATGAGTGTGGATGTTTGTGGATTACAGCATTCTTCTTCAGATGCCCACTGTGTGAAGAAAACTCACACCAAAATAAATGTGTGAGTTTTAAAAGTGTCAAAAAACTAGTTTCAGTTGTTGCTGAGACAGACTTAACATGGCTACTTTGTTGATTATTCAGATTTATTCAACCTCATTCTACTTTATTTATGATTATAATAATACACTATACTTTTTCCTTAATTTATTACTCAACTGCAAGGCCCAATAAAAGAAGTTATAATCTTGAGTTTCCAAGACCTGTTAATGACTCATTGGCATTCTAGAGGCAAAAGCAAAAGTGTGAGATCAAATTCACAGGGCTGTCATAAAAATAATATGATAGCACATAACAACAATGGCAGAGCACAGACTAGATGGGATTAACCCATGGTCTGGTATAGTATTATAAACAGCAGTTTCCAAAGAAGTAGCTATGTTTGTTTCAGCGTGTTGACAAAACTAAATGGGAGGGGAAATGGAAAGACATATTGTTAGCCTGAAAGACTAACAAACTTATTTTTGTGTGAGCTTTTGTGGATCAAAATCTATATCCTTGGACACCAAGAGCGTTCCTACTACGCCATCCGCACATATATATGTTTATAAACTATTTCCATGGTGATGTGCATGATGCCTGGGGAAGGATACAAGCAATAGAGTGACCATATAGTAATACCGATTTTCCTCCTTTTGCCCTAATTCCTTTTCTTTCCTTCCTTTTTAACGGTAAATCTGAGGGCCGGGAATTTTTAATTTCTGATGTTTATACAACAATCGAGGTGCATTTTTTAGCTGACAAGTGGAAAAACATGCCAGATAGATAGACACTGTAGCTAGATGAACAAAGTCAATATAATAAATAAGCAAAGTTTTCATCATAGATCAGAAGACTAAAACCACTGATTCATTTTAATTAATAATTAAAAGTTCGTAACTGCATCCACTTGATGTTTCTTCACTTTTGCCAGTGTCTGAGTGAGAACTAAGTCAATGCACAGACATAACAGCCCAGAAACAACTTACATTACTCCAACAGCTTATAAAAATGTTTGTATGATCATGGAAATCACTGCACTACCATGAGGCTCTATTTATGGATCAAGTGGAATATATTTATTGTGGACCTCAGTCATGTGGGACACAGACGGAGCATCTTTGAAGAATATGAGGCCTTTGAACACATCTGGGTGCCCCCTGGGAAATGGCAGCACCCTGTCAGTTGATCCGTTCACTCTGAAAACACCTTTGAATGCCTCAGTCATATCACACAGGGCATTTTGACAGCCTGAAAGACGTTTCTGTTAAAACAATGAAAATTCAAGCTAATTTTGTAATTTGTTTCTCAATCAAATTGATCGAATTCCTCTTCTGGAAATGTCCACTTGCATAGACACATATTTGTCACCGCTGTAGTACAGCTGAAGTGGACTTGCACACAACCAGCTTGATTTTTCTCAGAAACCAGTGAGCCCACTACACCCAGCATTAGCCACAGTGCAACAAACATAATTACATTGAACAACTCCTGCAGCTGACTTCTCCATGTCACATATATTAACAACTCATATCGTACTGATAAAGAAAGACGCATGTAAATACTAGATGCTCACATTACTTCAAATGTTGCTAGTATTTCAGATACTAGGGAAAGAAAACAATAGAATAATTTTTAATTTCTCTGCACTTATTTGTTTTACACCTCCGCAGATCCTTCAGGAAGCATAGCCACAACTGCTCTCGGAATCCCATCCTCTCTGGGGTGTCCGAAATGGCACAATTTGCAAAATCTGTTGCACCTTGATATATTGTTTCTCTAATGATGACCTTAAAATGTACTCCAGCTGAGACAGTCAAGTTAACAAGGAAATAAGATTTATCCCCTAAAATGCATTGTGCATAGTGACTTCTGCTCACCACAACCATCAAACGTATCTTGTGGGTGTAGTCAGAAACCAATTGCAAACCCCATCCTACTCTCTTCACTAGGATGAGCATTAACTGTTACATAGTTTTGTTAAATAGGGGAAAGGGACAATTGTGCAAGGTGGGCAATTCTAGCCCTACGCACTTGGAAAACGTCTGAATTCAGTCAGCTAAGGATTCCAACAACAGAATATGAGAGCAACTGAACGGTTTGATTTTATAAGATTTGATATCTCCCTTTCAAGTACCTGGAAGAATCATAAGGAGGCAGTAAAAGCAACCTTTATACTAAATAATTCAGAATAGAATTATTAAATTGGTAGAGCGTTAATCAGCAGTCATGTGAAAAAGAAAGTACACCCTCCCAAATTCTGTGGTTTTATGTATCAGAACATAATAAAAATCATCTGGTCCTTAGCAGGTCTGAAAATTAGATAAATACAACCTTAGATGAACAACAACACATGACATATTACAACATGTCATGATTTATTTTAGAAAAATAAAGCCGAAAACATGTGTTTTAACTTCAACCATGAAACAAATGAGGCAAGAATGATTAATGTAAATCATTGACACAAGAGCCTAAATCCAATTGTAAGTTCCAACAGCAGCAGAGGCAATGAATCAATGAGATCTGCATAACCACTAGCTTAACAAAGAATTAACAACTGAATTTAGCCTAATTATTTTGATTAGTTATAAAGAGCTAACATATAACTTTATTTATAATTGGGCATATATACATTCAAGAAAAATTAGATAACCCCAATTCTGCAGTATTTCTATTTAAAGCTACACACTGATTGTTGAACGTGTATTATTATTTTTTAGAATAACTTATCTCCAGAGACAAAACATTTTGATTCACAACTTTTTACTTAAAAACTCTACACATGGAAAAACTGTTTACCTCAAATTGTAGTTCCTTTCCTCAGTTCTCAATGCAGAGGAAATACGTTCTTCATTCTCCCTTGAATTTTCAGTTTGTCTTCTTCCTTCAGTCAATTCTTCCTGGAAAAAAAAAAGGTTTTATAACACGCTAAAACACCAAATCATCAAATTTCAGGCTCTGGAAAAATATGTCATTACATACCCTTTCATTTGTGGATTTGCTTAAAGTCCATAATATATCTGGCCTTATGCTGATTTGGCTTTAAAGCATAACAGTAACCCATGCAACCTTGTACTTCAATTGCAAACCCAGTGCTCAAGTTACTAATTCATCTGACCAGTTTAGGAGGAAACAGCTGAAAGTATTTGCAATTTGGTTTTGGCAAAATTAACTTGGAAGAATTTCAGGACACTGAAGAACTCGTGTTGCATGCACTTACAAGCAGTTCCTCCCTTGCAAAAATAAAATAAAAATAAAAATCTAAAGCTGCTACTAACCAGCAACAACAGGCCATATAACTGAGTCACAAGATTTTACAGCACAGCACACTAAAGTGCCCACTTTCTCTCCACCGCCACGTTGACTAGTATAAGGTAAAGGTTCCCCTTGACATTTAGTCCAATTGTGTCCGACTTTAGGGTGCGGTGCTCATCCCCATCTCCAAGCTGTAGAACCAGTGTTTGTCTGTAGACAGTTTCCATGGTCATGTGGCCAGCACGACTAGACATGGAATGCTGTTACCTTCGCACTGTGGTGGTACCTAGTTATCTACTCGCATTTACATGCTTTCGAACTGCTAGGTTGGCAGGAGCTGGGACAAGCAACAGGAGCTCACTCTATTACGTGGGTCCGATATTACGACTGCTGGTCTTCTGACCTTGCAGCACAGAGGCTTCTGTGGTTTAATTTATGTATTTTATCTACAGTGGTGCCTCGCTTAACGAGCGCACTGTACAACGATGAATCCGCATAGCGATCCCCTTTTCGGGATTGCTAATGCGGAGGCATACCGATCGTTCCAATGGGCAAAACTCGCATAGCGACGATCGGTAAGCGTTTCGCTTACCGATCTTCGCTCTGCGATGCCCGCGGATCAGCTGTTCGGTGGTTCTAAAATGGCCACCGGACGCCCGAAATGGCCGCGCGCAGCGTTTTCGCGCCCTCCCCTCGCTTACCGAGGGCGCGAAAATGGCTGCTGCTATGGAGGAAACTTCGCTGAACGGTAAGTTTAGGGCCCATTGGAACACATTAAACGATGTTTAATGCGTTCCAATGGGTTTTTATGATCCGTTTAGTGATGTTTTCACATAGCGAGGGTTAATCCGGAATGGATTAACCCTCGCTATGCAAGGCACCACTGTATTCTATTTATATCCCGCCTATCTGGTCACTGCGACCACTCTAGGCAGCTTAACCCGCAGCACTATCACATCCCACTAGTATAGGTCCTAATAATATTGTACAATATCAAGGACTTGGTCACCCAACTTTTTTTCAAACTAATACACACTGTCACATGCTAACGATACCCTTCTGCTTATTAAACAAGACAAACAGACCAGTCTCTATTCAAAATAGAACAGAATAGAATAGACATCTGGAATCAGAAAAAGCAACAGAATTCAATGACTAAATTTCAAAGACAGGCTATAGCCTGAAATGGTTGATTCAAAATTTACATATATTCTATTCTTCCTCACCATTCCATAGACCAATGGTTCCTAAGTTTGGATCCCCAGATGTTCTTGAACTAAAACTCCCAAAAGCCTTCACTACTAGCTGTGCTGGCCAGGATTTCTGAGAATTCCATCCAGGAACATTTGGAGGCCCACAGCTGGGAACCATTGCCATAGAAGATACTCTTTCTTTCCAGAACTACTGGAAGACAGAAGTAAGAGGACTTTTTACCTTTTTGTAGAGGTCAGTAGAAGGGGATGACCTGGATCGTTCATGTGTATATGGAGATTTCTCAAGTTGTTCATGGCCAGCATCAAGGATATTGTCAGCTGAATGGTACCTTCCAGAACTCCGGGTCTCTAAAGGCTTTTTCTGCTCTTTCCAAGATGCTTGATATTCTGCAAACGTTTCTAATCTCTGCCGTTGTCCAGATTTTGTTGGGAAGCCACTGTAATGGATAGTTTCTTTGGGTCTATTGTGAGTACGAAGAATATTCTCAACGCCAAAGGAAGCTGACCGCATTCTCCTTTCACACCACGGACTTTCAGATTCAACTTCTTGAGAATTTCTAAGCGCATTAGGTGGCTGTGTTTCCAGCTGACTGCAAGGTACATGTCTCTGTGAAGATTTTTGATAGGCCGGCTTACTAGTTTCTTCAAAGAACTTCCACCTGTCTGCAAAAGAGCCCAAAGCTTCCTCAGAAATGGTTGGGCGACCACGTGGGCGGTAGTCATCTTCTGATCTGCCCACTTCATTTATCTTCTCAGGCTCAGAATAAGATTTCAGTTTTTGTTGTGCTGAGAACCTCTTTCTGGCTCCGATCCGAGGAACATGGTGAGCATTGTTTCCAGATGAATTCGGTTTAGAAGACTGCCTAGCCTCAAGGAGGCCTGACTCCTTGTTGTCTGGATTAAAAGTCAGTGCAGGAGAGTTGCAATTATTTGCCTTCCCATCTGGATTACCATCTGCAGAACTGCGTTCCAAGTCTCGGCGTTGGAAAGAGGTGGCCTTTAACACTCTGGCTTGGGCTTCTTTCAAATTATCTTTGTATACATTAGTAAAAGAACCTTCTGATGAGCAACTTTCTGCAGAATCAGGTTTCCAGTTCTCAGCATATTCTTCCGTCTCGTTTGAGCCTGTTAAGGCAGCTGTGCTCTTGCTTTTCTGAAGTTTTGCTCTTTTCATTTGGATCTCATTTCTCAGTGTGGTTGCAAAACGATCGCTCCTTCGGGCATTTTTGCTCAAATGAGCGTCAAACCCAGGCTGCTTATTAATTCCCATTTCTGTGGCAACAGCAGCCTGGCTTTTCCCTTCCTGAGCTAAAGAGTGCAGCATTGGAGTCTTCTGAGGTGAAATTTTGTAGCTTTCTTCTTGACTCCACTTAAAATCTTTCAGGGAAGCTTTACTGGCAGACACTGGGACACACTCCTGCCCATACTCAGCCTCACGGTAACTACTGTGACTCTCCTCAAAGCTCTTGCTCTGTCCTTGTTTTTCAGGGTAACTTACCTTTCTAGAATCTTCCATTACGAGAGTCCTAACATCCTCTCCTTTATTCATGATGTAATGACCTCTCTTTTCAGAAGCATCCAGAGAAGACTCAACAGGCCGCTGAGGTAGGTAGTATTTGGAACTTTGGCTCATTGTGGCTACGGCAGGACTCTCATGTGGTTCAGGATTCCAGGATGCATCCTTGAGTGACAGCGGTCTTAAGCTTCCCTGAGCAGGCTGTTTCACTGTCACACAGTAGTAGTGACTTAGCCCGGCATTGTCCATTCTTCCCTCAGAATTTGTGTCAACAGAAGCAATAGCTACATTATCGGGTGTCCTGACTTGGTTTGGATGGCAGCTGTGTTTGTCAGTAGACTTCTTCTGAATGCCAGCATAAGCAGATAGGTGTCGTTGCTCTTTAGCAGATGCAGAGACTTTTGCATTATGAAAGAAAGTGCTTTCATCGCTATACTGGCGCTGATGATGATGTTGCCCATAAGCAGATTGTGCAAATCGAATGTCAGTACTGGATAGAGATGAATGAAGCCTGTTGATATTTCCCATATTATTGTTGACCCTGTCACACGCAGAGGTCAAACTGTAGTCCATGTTGCCATCCAGTCTATATGCTGGATTGCCACCCTGCCTTCCATCAGAGACCCTCTCAACTGTCTTAGCAACTTGCTTTTGTTGTTCTGCAGTTTCAACAGCCCAGTCATTCCTGGCTTGTGGTCTGGGTGGAACTTCAAAGTGCTGGGTGTTTTGAACTCCCTCTGAATACAGAGGAGCATGAGCTCTCTCATGACCTTTGGTAGCAGCAAAGCTATCACTACGGAGGGGAGGGGGAGGAGGGGGAGGAGAAGGTGACTTTTTCTTCTCTGGGATATACCACACAGGCACAAAATTTGATCTTCCAGATCCAGAATACATTGAATCAGAATGATCTTCCAGTCGGGGGGTCCTATTATTTTCATATTGTAGTGGAGGTGGAAGGCAGCTAGCTTTCTCTTCCAGTCTTCCATTATCACTTAGAAATGAGGGCCCCTTGCTGTTCCCCTGTTTTGGGGTTTCCCAGTGACCCACTTTGTACACCACATTCTCAGTTGAGGCAGCATCTACACTGGAAAGTGTGTGGTCTGGTGTACTAGAGCTGGTAGAGAAAGAGCCATAGGCAGAATCCCTTTTATTGGGATTTCCCAGGTGGTCAATGCTGCTGTTGGACTTTGCAGAGGAAATCTGCCCATACTGACATGCTTGTGGGATGTGATCCCAGCTGTCCATGCTTCCAACAGAACTGAACTGGTCTGAAGTACGGTACAGATTTGACTGATCCCATGAGCTGGAGAGATCATGGGAAGAAGAGCTGTAAGAAAATAATGACTTCCATCAGTATAGTGAGCACATGAAAAATCACTGGTACAAATTATGTTCAGTAAAACTCTGCCTATTATTATGAAGCAATTGATATTATAAAATCAAATCATATTTCAGAAGTTATGAACACCACTAAATGCACAACTGCTAAGAAAGGAACAAGCTATTTATAATTACTGGCGTAAAAAGACCTTCAAGTAAGTTCACAATGGTATTTCCCAGCCGTCTGCTTGGCTTATAAGGGCAAAAGGCCTTGTGCTATCCCAGGAAGTAACGTGGAAGTTCTAACATGGGCTTAGAGTTCTTTCAGGTCTGAGGTACTTGGCTGTTCCAGAGGAACATTTCTCATTCTTTGCCATTTGTCAAACAGATAAATGCTACCACGAAGTCAAGATCTCTAAGTAAATAAATAGTATGTTGCTGGTTTTCCTCCTACTTCACCATAAATCTTGATGACAACATTAGCGATAGGTATGGCTGGAAATGGAGCTCAAGGGTAGAGCACACGCTTTGCCTGCAGAATGTCTAGGTACAATCCTTTCATCTTTAGGTAGGGGGTGGGAGAGAATCCTGCCTGAAACCCTAGAAAGCTATTGCCAGTGTGGACAATACTGGGCTAGATCAAGGGTGAGTAAAGTGAACCTCACAAACCTACAGTATGCATCTCTTAAGACCCAGATATGCCCCCCCACTCTTTCTAAGATTTAAGATGCTTGGGTCTAAATATTCATTAGAGGCTAACCTGTTTCAGTTCATGTTGCCCCCTTTATGCATGATGCCCCCTTGTATTGAAGGCCTGGGGAAAATACCCACTCACCCACCCTTGTAAAACCCAGATTGTCAGGATCTTTGTCTTTCAGGGCCCTAACATACAACCCCATTTTTCTTTCTCAGAAGACTTCCTTATGACTTTTAGGGAGTGTGGGAGCACTTATTTCATGTTTTGAGCCCCTATACACTGTCTTTTTTAAAAAAAAAACACTTGTTGGGTACTAAGAGCTTCTTTAGTGAAAGAAAATTAAGAAAATATTTGTGATTGGTTGGATATGGCACTGGGTCTGGCTTTCACAGGTGGCCAGATACAGCCCCCAGATCTCTGGTAATTGCCCACCCTGGGTTATATATACAGTGGTGCCTCGCTTAACGAGTGCACCGTTTAACAAACAACTCTGCATAGTGACGCGTTTTTTTGCGATCGCTAATGCAATCGCATTGCGATGTTTTAGGTGGCAAAACATTGCATTGCGATGATCAGTAAGCATTTCGCTTACCGATCTTTGCATTGCGATGTTTAGAAAACAGCTGATCGGCAGTTCCAAAATGGCCACCGGGTGCAGAAATTGGCCGCGTTTTTGCGCCCTGCCCTCGCTTACCGAGGCGGTGAAAATGGCGGCCGGATGGGGAATCTTCACTTACTGGTGAGTTTCCCCCCATAGAAACGCATTAAACGGAGTTTAATGCGTTCCTATGGGGTTTTACGTTCCGTATAGTGATGTTTCCGGATAGCAAAGTTAATCCTGGAATGGATTAACGTCGCTATGCGGGGCACCACTGTACTAGTAATGTAACTTGACATAAAGTAGCTTCTTATGCTTCTCTGCTACACTATTTTAAGAGAAGGACCATGGCTTTAGTATAAGGCAGCTTTCTCTGTTCCTAAAAAAAGAAGTGTTCAAAAATCTATAATTAAGATGACATTTTGTTGGAACAGAGATGGCAGTGACCAACAAGTCCTGCCAACAGCAAGTACAGTAAGGGAATATGTGGCAGAAGGATTCAAAATAACTACCAAAACAACCATTTTATTTTAAAATGTCAGTACATGCCACTTAACAAACAACAAATGGGTAGCACATTTCAAAACAATGCTTACCTCTGTGTGTGCTTGGATCTTTGCTTTTACAAGCAGAGCACCCAAATATAAAATTTAATGAAATCCCACCTCAGTGCCATGAGTGGGTATACTGTGTTTTACATTATAAACTTACATATCTGAGATACATTCTACATCCAACACAGATCTTAGTCCAAAGGGAGCTTGAGAAGAATTGTTGCTAATAGAATGCTTTCTAAGGACTTGAAACCAGTTTGTGTTATGCTTGGATGACAGAAAACATTTACTACTTTAACTGAGGTAAAAAATAAAAACAGGGGTTTTTTTAGCCCCAGAGGCATTTTCATATCAATCATAATTACTGAGGACATTTCAATGGAAGAAAAGGCAATGGTGTGTCCAACCCATTGCTTATTAACTGCTACATGACAGGCGTAGATATATTTAGAGAAAGTAATTGTTGAACCGTTCTTTAGGCATGTAGAAGAAGATAATGTATATGTGTTTGTTTTTTTAAATTACCTCTTTAAAATAGCAGATTCAGCTTTGCAAAGGAAAAGGTATGTTTGGCACAACACACAACTGACTATTAAAATTTTAAACCACTCCTGTGTTGATGTCTGAAAAAACTGGCCTAGAGTAGGAGGAGTTACCTGTCAGCAGGATGTACAAATATCACTCTTCACTCTATTCACATAATGGCATAAGGGAAAACACTGAGAACAAAGTAACACCAAGCACATTATACCAATCTCTTAAACATATGATTCATGAGCTAATATCAGCTTAAACGTAAAACTGAACATTGCTGGGAGTTTGAAGATAAGAACAAAATAAGGCACACATTTCCTTTCTTACTGCTGGAGCTTGATGCATATTAAGTTTAAACAAGAACTTACCTTGCATGATATTGAGAGTGCCATGAAGCACAAACATTGGTGGAAGAGAGCCGTGGCGTGGCTGTCTCGGACTGGCTCTCAGTGAATTTGGTTGCATGCCAGGAGTGAGGCCTGCAGGCCAGGTCGTTTTTTCTGGAATAAGAAAAGCGAAGCGTATTAGTTTATTTCATTATTCACTAAATTACACCACAAAAACAAAATCAACCTCAGACCTAATTAACAAGTACAGCGTCAAGACTCAAATGACTAAAGAGGCCTGCTGCACTAACAAGCCATCTTTGAAAACAATCTGGTTTTTGTTCTAAAAAATAAACTCAGAATACAGACAATGAGTCAATGAAAACAGACAAAGCTTGGAGTGTTTCCCCCCCAGGCAGGTAAACCAAATGGTAAGTGCTTACTAAAACTCACTGAAGTCTTTTAAACAATTAAACTTTGTACACCAGGGTAAAAACACAGACATTAAAAACAGTTGTGTTTGATCAGGTCTCGAGACATCAAATTCTTATTAGACAGGGTAGATTTGAGTCTTTCCAATGACTATAGCATCAACCTTTGATCTATATTCACATACTTATTACATAAAAGAGAATATGCTGTATGATGTAAAAAATAGAGCTCAGCCTGCATCCTTCAGGTGTGCTGAAGTCCTGGGAGTAGAGTCAGCCTATGTGGCCTTGGGCAAGCCGTACAGTCCCAAGGCACCTCCAGAAGAAAGGAATGCTGAACAATTTTTGAGTACTTTCTACCTAGGAAATTCTGAAAAGGGGCATCCTAAGTCAGATTTGACTTGACAGCAAATCATTACTATATTATTATAGCTACAGTAAGTTATCAGTGGCATAAACATGTTTGCTGATTCTTTCAGGAAAATGTAACATGATCATAAAATCAAGTTGAAAACGTTACATGCACCAGAGATTCTATTTAACTTCCCCTTTATTATATTAATGTTTAGAGAAGGGGATCTTTTCAGTGAATATCGTTCCTTTTGGTGGATGGCAGCACATTTCTCAGCTGGGTTTGTTCTGCCATATCACTAAAGTGACGAATTGATTTCTTGGACGTTAATACTGTTATAACACCATATGAACCACTCCCAAGACCTTCGGCCCAGTTCAAGAACCATGACATCTAGCATTCAACAAGAAACTCTCCTTATTTGGATAAATGAATGAAGTTATAAAAGGACTTTCATTTCCCCTCCCTTATTTTTGGGTTACAGATTAGTTCAAATTCCAAATATTTATAGACATAAACAGGTAAAGGTGTTCAGAGAAGGAACATAATTTTGGAGCAAGGTGATGGAATGCTAATTCTTTCCTTTTCTTTCATGGGCGAAAGAAAAAAATAGGTGGTTTAAACATAATGCTTGCAAGTGGTCCCCCCTGCAATTTCTAATTCCAAAACTAAAAACTGCAGTTCATTCAGCTGAAGATCTTATGCCAAACCTTTGTGTAATTTACAAGTGGAACCTGTGCAGTTAAAAGCAAGCACCACTGGGTCCAATAGAGCTAAGTCTCAAGTAACTGTGAGCTAGTCTAACCTCTAGGTTTCTTGAAAAACTGGTGCCTTGTTTTGTTTGCAGAGTTGGAAAATTAGAACTGGCATCTTAACAGACACAAGCAAAGCATAGTTACTAGGGCTCCATGTTGGGCTCCTGATCTTCAAAATGTACCACTGCATCACTGGTATTAGTCCTCCATGTGCATCTCCTCACTTCCTACTGCCACTTCTTCCTCTATCAGCTTAAGAACATTAAGAGAGTCCCCTGCAACTGGCAACTTGAGATAAAAATACTGTAGCTTCCCCCACTACTTCCCAGGTGCACCTGGGCACCAAAGGAAATCAAAATATCAGAAAAGGCCCACAGATGATCCTCAGAGCAACCCTACCCTTACTAATCTTTGCTGCTTTTACTTATTTACCTCCCTTTGTATGTGTGTGAAGACTGACCAGTGCAGGAATCAGCAGCTTCCACTTGTTTTATTCTCTTCTTCTGACCAGCGGTGCTGATTTAGCCGAGCAAATGAGTAGTGATGGCAGTGGGAAATATGTGACCCCCTAAGATGTAACTTTCCCAAAACTGGAAGTTGGTCACAAAGAGTCGTGAAACCTGTTCTTACATGGTAAGCAAATTCATACCATCTTTTTGGCCCATCTTGTTAAGGAGACATGATAAATCCGGTGTGTTAAAGCAAAAGACTTTCATTTTAGTTTAATAGTTTGAGGTTTAGCTGCCTCAAAGTTTTGTAGAACACTGAGTGTATAGAAACCCTAGTTTGGATAAGGTTGGATTATAACTACCTAAATCTCTTAGGCCAATTCACTTATGGAGAAATCTAAAATTTGTACTCTAAAGATGTAATATTTTCAAGCTCTGATAGGAACAATACAATACAGTGAGATGCTGTGTGAAGCTGAGCAGCCTTCATTGTCATGTTATTTTGCAGAATCATTTTCACCTCCAAAACAGAATCATAAAAAAAGTGAAGTTGGATTGGGCCTACAAAGCCATCAGGTCCAATCCCCTGCTCAGTGCAGGAATACAATCAAAGCATATCTGTCAGATGATTATCTAGGTTTTTCTTGAATGCCTCCAGTGTTGGAGCACTCACCAACTCCCAAGGTAACTGGTTCCACTGTCATACTGCTCTAACAGTTAGGAGGTTTTTCCTGATATTCAACCAAAATCTGGCTTCCTTTAACTTGAGCCCATTGTTGTGTGTCCTGCACTCTGGGATGATCGAGAACAGATCTTGCCCCTCCTCAGGATGACAGCCTTTCAAATATTTGAAAAGTGCTATCATATCACCCCTCAGTCTTCTTTTCTCAAGGCTAAACATGCCCAATTCTTTCAGCCTTTCCTCATAAGGTTTGGTTTCCAGCCCCCTGATCATCCTTGTCGTCCTTCTCCAAACTTGTTCCAATTCGTTATCATCCTTCTTGAAGTCTGGTGTCCAGAACTGGACACAATACTCAAGGTGAGGCCTAACCAGTGCTGAATAGAGGAGGACTAGCACCTCGCGGGATATGGAAACTATACTTCTATTAATACGGCCTAAAATACCATTTTGCCTTTTTTGTAGCCACATCACACTGTTGGCTCATATTTAGCTTGTGATGTACGACAATTCCAAGATCCTTCTCGCTCGTAGTTTTGCTGAGCCAGGTATCCCCCATTTTGTAACTGTGCATTTGGTTTCTTTTTCCAAGGTGCAGGACTTTTCACTTCTCCCTGTTGAATTTCATTCTGTTGGTTTTGGTCGAGTGCTCCATTCTATCAAGGTCATTTTGAATTTTGTTTCTGTCTTCTAGGATATTAGCTATTCCACCCACTTTGGTATCATCTGCAAATCTGACAAGCATTTCCTCATCCAAGTCACTAATAAAAATATTGAAGAGCATTGGGTCCAGGAGTGAGTGTTGGGATACCCCACTAGTTACCTCCTCCCAGTTAGAGAAGGACCCTTCAATCATCACCCTCTGAGTATGATTCTGTAGCCAATTGTGTATCCACCCGACACTTGATCTATCTGGTCCACACCTAGCTAGCTTGCTAATCAGGATATCATGGGGCACAGCATTCCCTCTGTCTATCAGGAAGGTTACCTGATCAAAAAACAAGATCAAATTAATTTGGCAGGTTGTTGCTAGGTTTTTCGGGCTGTTTGGCCGTGTTCTGGAACAACCTGAAAAAACTACAACAACCATAGGATCCTGGCCATTAAAGCCTTCGAGAATACATAGTTTAGCAAGATTAGTTCTGGACAAATCTGTGTTGGCTTCTAGTTATTACTGCATTATTTTCTAGGTTCTTGCACAATGACTGCTTTATGATCTGTTCCAGAATTTTGCCTGGGATTGATGACAGGCTGACTGGCCTGTAGTTCCCAGGTTCCTCTTTTTTGCCCTTTTTGAAGATAGGGACAACACTGACCCTCCTCCAGCCCTCTGGCATCTCACCCTTTCCCCGTGATTTCAAAAAAATAATGGATAGCGGTTCTGAGAGTTCTTCAGCCAGTTCCTTCAGTACTCTCAGATGCAGTTCATCCTGTCCTAGAGATTTGAACTCGTTCAAGGTGGTAAGTTATTCCTTGACTATTTGTTTATCTATCTCCAGCTGCAATCCTGTCCCCCCCCCTTGCACTTCCATTTTGTTTGGAAGTTCATAGTCTGTTTTATGGGAAAAGACTGAACTAAAATAGGAATTGAGCACCTCTGCCTTTTCTTTGTCCTCTGTTATCATTTTTCCATCTCCATTGCAGAGCTGTGCCACTATGTCTTTTGCTACTCACAAAACTGAAGAATGCGTCATTCTCAGCTTTTGCTCTCCTAATGCCATCCCTGCATTTCCTTGCTACTTGTCTGTACTCATCTTTGGTGGCCTGGCCTTCTTTCCATTTCCTGTACATATCTCTTTTTGGTTTTTAGGTCCTCCCTGAGCTTTCTGTGAAGCCACACTGGCCTTTTTTTGCTGCCTCTCACCTTTTTTTCTTGTTGGAATTGTTTGCAGTTGCGCTTTTAGATTTTCCTTTTTTTTAAACAAGCTACCACCCTTCTTGGACTTTGTTGGTCAGAATCGATAGCAAATCCTCTAATTTCTTTCTCTACTTTTTGTAGGAGAAAATTATCAGCCACACAAGCCAGGAACTTCTTGGAAGGTCCCAACATATATCTGGATAATTGAAATCTCCCATCACTACTAAATCGTGTCTCTTTGAAAAGTCTGCAATTTGTTTTTCAAAAGTTTCATCTGCTTCCTCTCTTTGATTGGGTGGTCGGTAGTAGACTTCTACTACCAAGTTCCTTTTGATTTTGTCCCAACTAGATTGATCCAGATGCTCTCGATGGGACAGCCACTCTCTTCCTCCTGTATTTCTGTGCAGGAATTCGTACTTTTGACATATACTGCAACTCCATCTCCCTTTTTATTCTTTCAGTTCTTTTTGATCAGTTTATATGCCTCAATTGCTGTACTCCAGTCATGAGAGTCATCCCACCAAGTTTCAGTTATTCCTATCAAGTCGTAGTTACTGCCCTGAATTAAAATTTCCAGTTCTTCTTGTTTCCCATACTCCTAGCATTCACATTGGAGGTTGTATGATTTGTTTTTGTAAATGATGATGATA